TATTATTCTCCAGAAATGTTTCGGTTGAGAAAAAGAATTAAATTCTTGCAAGCAGAACATACGAGAAAAATGCGAACTGCACGACAAAAAATACGTCGATATAAAAATCAAGTGGACATGCTCAAAAGCATTTTGGGCACATTGAAAAATAATGTTAAATGATCCATTTGATGAGATTATTAAGTGATTTATTAAGCGATGACTGAAGAAAGATGACTGTGTATTCAAACAGTATACACTGAAAATATGTTTGTTTGCATTAACTCTTTACTATTGTTTTCCACGTGCTTATGCATATGTTTGTGATCATTATAATAAATGCTTACCACATGCAAAAATTATTTCTTCTTGATATAGAACTGTTAATGGAAAACCTGGTATTAGTTTAGAAAAGTTAATATTACCAAACGTCCAAAAAACTATTTATATGTCATTTAATTAATTGACTCTTCAATATTTAATGAAATAGCAATTTTGAGAATATTTAAAGTCTAAATTTCAAAATTTAGCGGTTGATTTGAAGGAAAATATTACATGTGATCGTATCTTAGCAAACAAAGCCTTAACTTTTATGATTGTTTGTATCATAACTTATCTCACTCCAACTTATTGCATTAGTGCAAGTCACTGTCACTAGGCTAGTTTAGGAAGTTCTTCGAAAAAGAATAGACGATAGATTAGATTAGATACATTTTCAATCTTAATTCACTTATTAACTGCACAGTGACATAAAAGATGCATGATATTAATATAGAAATAGATATATATATATAATAACATATATAATATATATAAATAATATATATAATATATTATTATTTACACTGATCTCTGTGACCTCTTAAACGATAAAAAGCAGTATTGTCTAGTTTACAGTTGCAACACAATATGCATGACGTTTATTTTCTTTTTCTTATAGGTATTCAATATCTATAGGTTATTCAATATCTATAAAACCATTATTAATTTTTTCTGACATTCTAAAAATTATGCCCAAGCTAATTAATAGAGCTGAAAATAAAATTGTAAGTAAAATATATAAATTTCCAATATTTCTGATGAAATAAATAAATCTTCGATGACTTTATCTATAGATTACTCATTATTTACATACATTCATGTACGGCATTTGTATGAATTTGAAAAAAATATATATTCGCGATAATATACAGGGTGTCCCATTTTTAATGTCCCAGGCAAATGTCTTGAAAAATATAGAAGATATGGAAAAACGTTTCAGACAAAAGTTGTTTGGTTTGAAGGGGATACATGAATCCATGGTAGAAATACAAGGGTATGCTCATACCGTGTCAGACCACTGCGCATTCCCACCACTTTTTTCCAAGCTTACGTCATATTCGTGTAGCATCGGAATGAATCGGATGTACTCGGTGATTCGCAATGGCTGCGTTCGCTCGGTTCGCTGTTTATGTCGAGTAATTCGTTTGTGATTATTACAGTGTACGCAATGGCGTGTAATGTGAAAGGGTGTGGGAACTATCCGGCAAAGACCAGAAAGATCGAAGGAAATAAAATAAAATATTTTTCCTTCCCAAAGGATCCAGCACTGTGTAATAAGTGGCGTCAAGCATGCGGAAAAGAAAATATTTCACCAAAAAATGGTTTGTACTTTTGTATAGATTTCTCTTGTTTATTATTATAAGCATATATTTAAGAATCTTAAACCTTGTTTGCTTCAGCTAGGATATGTTCGAAGCATTTTGCTGATGAAGCTTTTACGAAGCCCTTACAAGAACATCTACTAGGTTATTCACCTACACGAACTAGGAAGATACATCCTGATGCTATCCCGACGTTGCATCTCCATGCAGTACCTCCACTAACATCAAACGAAAATGTGTTAGCTGAAACAATGCCTTTGCCTGTATCAAATGAAGTTTCGATGGACGTTGAACAGACACCAGCATCGTCCAGTATAGAAGAACAGACACCAGCATCGTCCAGTACAGAAGAACAGACAGCAGCATCGTCCAGTACAGAAGAACAGACACCAGCATCGTCCAGTACAGAAGAACAGACAGCAGCATCGTCCAGTACAGAAGAACAGACACCAGCATCGTCCAGTACAGAAGCTATCATGTTACAAATGTAAGTTATAAATTACTGTTCCCATCAAGCACAAAGTATACCCAGCAAATAAGAACCGTATATGTGTCAGTAATATAACATCGATATGTAATGTCAGCTCAACCATATTTACACAGTTACATAACAAACCACATAAATGTGCTGACATTACATATCGTTATTATATTACTAATACATAAATATATATAGTTCTGGTTTGCTGGGTGTAGTTTTAAAAGTAGCACTATATAGTTTTATGCTTTCAGACGTCGTCTAGAAGCCCAGGTAGCCGCACTGAAAAAAGACGATAAAGAACTCATGGAACAAAAAATGACGGAGTTATTGGGAAAAATGTTTAGTCCAGGACAAATACGGATGATATTGAATCCTTCATTGCGGAAAATAAAGTGGTCTTCTGAAGATATCGCACGTGCTATATCCTTGCGATGTGTCAGCCCAAAGGCATATCGTTATATGAAGAATGTTTTGCAAATGCCACTTCCAGGCCTTTCAACACTAAGAAGGCAAATCGAACGAATCGATCTTTGTATCTCCTCTTAGCTGTGATGTCGAAGAGTCCGTGTTAACAGATATGCTTGCGTCCTATGTTGACGAAAAAGTTACTACTATAACTAGTTATGAAGAAGAAGAGATATGTTTTGATGAAGCATATGAACCTTCTGCGTTGGATTCGTGCGCAATTATTCCAAGTTATGAGGAAGAACAGTTGTTACAGAAATTAGAAGATTTTAATATTAGCGAGGCTATCGAAGAAGAGGGTTTAAAATATATAGCCGGATACGTAGCATTTAGATTTAAAAGCACAGATAAAACATTAGGTATTGAAACGCGCCAATTGGAAACAACGGGTGACCAAGATTGGCTGCAAGTTATTTCGCGAGGAAAATGTATGTATCCGAGTGACAAATTATTACAATGTGCTCGTATAATGAATATTGAGTTTGCTAAATATCACGGATCCAGTTTGAATAAAGAAAATCTTATATTTCAAAACTTAGCAAAAATAATAGAACCACAATTGAAAATTAAAATACCGAGAGAGGCATTACTATGCCTCATTAGGACTAGGACATATATTAGGCTGCGCGAAATGAACCGAGCGATTGCAATCGCAAATCACAGGCAAAAAAGAAGAAAGATGTCAAAATTTACTAATAAAAAACCTGTATATTAAATATTTGCATTTATTGTTATTTGATCTTTTATCTGCATCTTTCCTCTGCATATATAGTTCTTTATGTCGTACGCCACAATATATTTTTGTTTTGCGTCTCAGCTGACAATTCTTTTCCAATCGTTTTCCGACCAGTTTTGATTAAAACTAATAATTCGCAGAATTTTAATAATAAATGACTGGAAATTAAAATCTCGTTTTATGTGAAATTTTTCCGTACGTCGCAATGATTTTTATTCAATGCACACAATTCTTTTTTTCTTAATAATAATAATATTTTCTGTAATATCATATATTTAGACAAATCCACATAAAATAATTATAAAATTCGTCAAATAACAATAACGTTTCTAACATCTACAACGAGAGACAAATTCGGGAAACGATGAGCGTTTATCCGTATGTCACGTGCGTTTTTTTATATTTATATATTTTTGTTCATATATATTTATTTATTTATAAAACAGAATTTTCTCTCACATAAATGATCAACATTATTTTGTATTCACATATTGTCCGCTCAAAATGCTTTTATAAATGACTATTATAGATTCGCTGCTTAAATGTGCCGCTCAGTGTGACGTAAGCTTGCAAAAGTCGCTGATTGGCTGGGTTCGGAAATATGCGCAAGAGCATACCCTTGTATTTCTACCATGCATGAATCCAATGTGCGTCATGTACATACATGTCGTTTTTTTAGAAATTTTAAAAGCGATTAATTTCTTAAATGGAACTTAATTTTTTCCTCGACATAAAAGTTGTAGATCTCGTCAAGACGTTTTCAAAACATTATAAGAAAGCTCTTTTTTGTTAAGATTTTTCTGAGATTTTAAATTTTTTATTATGATATTTTTAGTACAAAATCTAAAATATCTTGTAAAGTATTACTTTTTGATAGCTTTATCTTGATACTTCTATACATTAAATGATAAAAAGAAATCGATTGTTGTAAAAATATATATATATTTTTTTAATTTGATTGCATTTTGTAGACGCATTGAATTTTGCAAAATTGCAAATATAAAAATTATTATTCGCTTGCTGTTATTATTCTATGTGTAAAAATATCAAGGTAAAGTCATCGAAAAGTGAATACTTTGCAAGATATTTTATATTATTAAAATATATGTATACATATATAATAATAAATAAAGAATTAAATACTGCATTATATAAGTTAATTTTTAATTATGTGCATCGGTAATTGAAAAATTTATGTCGATATAGCTGCAGACAATATCGATACTGTCTAATTGCGTCTCCAGAATTCAGGACACTATTGACAGTAATAAAAATTTTCTCAGAGTCAACGATCTTTATTAGTATCTCGTCGATGTATAATTCATCCTTTCATAGGATTCCTTTCTAGCTTGGAGCAAAAAATAAAAAATTGAGGACATCACGCGGTGTTCCCTGCAGGTGCAAAATTGTAAATCAGCAATGTATATAGCGACTTGCTATATGCGGAACAAGGAATTCAAGTGAAAAGTCTTTAGTTGTAATAGATAGATAAATACTACATATCAAAATTTACAAATAATCTTTAAATCGATATAAAAAACAGTTTCCACTCAATCCTTAAAGCTAGTCTCATAAAAAATATTGGAAAATGTCTGATAATCTTATATCTGTTTGCGGGGATACTAGAAAAACTCGAAAGTAGGTATATGTCGAGTAGGAAGTGTGATTTTGGAAAATTTATATTTATTCGGGTATGTATTGCGAAAATAAATTTTAATTTTAATATATGTATTCAACATATATTTACAAGTCACTTCTTTCTTCCGGCTCGTTCAAGTTTGAACCTACTTACAATTTTTTTTTCGCCTTTCTTTACCGAAACATCATTTATTGGCGATATTTTATTTTCTTGAACTTTCTCTTAATTGGATTACTTGCAAAATACGTCTATTAGTACATTCAATTATTTATGTAAAAACATTATTAAATTATTATTTTTACTCAAAACTATATGCAGAATGTTTAACTTATTCGTCTTCATCTTCTGTATCTGTACACTCGTTTAAAAAAGAAGCAATTCGATCTTTTTATATGCTCATGCGTCCGCTCCTCAGCCTGAGTGTGAGTTTTCCTACACACATTCATGCTGAGGAGCGGGCGCATGAGCATATCCGAACACATTTGGTAATTCGATTGGAATCTCCAAACGAATTACCAAGTGTTCGGATATGCGGCCGGTGCCTTTGAGGTGGACTAGAGAACTGATGAATCGGTAGTTGATTGTTTTCGGGATACACTGATTGCTGATGAAGGCCCGGTGCAGGCACGTGTCATGTATGTACATACATAGATCGAAGACCATGGACTTCACTTTGATCTATGTATGTATGTACATGGCACGTGCCTGCACCGGCAGACTAGCCGGATGAGGATATATGGCAGGCGGTTGCCCTTTGCCCTCCACCTCCACCTACTCAAGCCCACTCAAGCCATCCCTACCACTGGTGTTTCACTGTTGAAGTTGAAGGTGACAGTTAGAAATTTTTTGAAAAATATGTCAATAGGCGATTTTTAGCATGACGGTAATTATTTAGTTTAGGGGCTTCACCTCAAATATCGATGAAATTATGCTCAATCGACGCGTTTTTGTACGAAATGAAAGAATCTGGCAGAAAAAAGTGTTGCTCTGCCCCGCGACGCGAGATATTAAACGTTAAAGTTGACAGGAATCAGGTTCTGATTCCCGTCATACCGACGAGATGTAGCAACACGCCTTCAGCAACATGCCTTCTTCTTCTTCTTCTTCTTTCTGTCCCGAATGGATTACTGGTTCCGCAGGAACCAAAGTACCATGCTAAAGCCCGGTGTCCACGATGCAAGAACTGTGTCCAAGTTTCGGTTTAAGCCAATTAACTTGCAGCTCTTAGGCTGGTTTCACATGGGGCGTAAGATGCGTATGCGTAACTTGCGTCAGCCAATCAAATCGTCTCAGTATTTAATCGTATCATACGCGTATAGTAGCTGAGATGATTTGATTGGCTCACGCAAGTTACGCATACGCATCTTACGCCCCATGTGAAACCAGCCTTACAGAAAAGTAGCAGTTTCATTGGCTTAAACTAAAACTCGAACACAGTTCTAGCATCGTGGACACAAGGTTTAAGAAAATAGACCAATCACACTCGATTATTCTTCAAGCGCGAGGAGAATAATCGACTGTGATTGGTCTATTTCCTTACAGCCTTACGATTATAACTAAAACTTTGTTACGTGCAATGGCCTTAATTCGCGTTTCCAACAGCAGACACAACTGTTGAGTTCGTCTTATCAACACTCTGCGTTGATTGGTTGGTTCTAAAAGTAAGAGTCAATGGGCGCGTTTAGTAGACCGCCGCTCAGTAACAGTCGAACGTGATTGGCTCTTACTTTTAAAACCAACCAATCAACGTAGAGTGTTGATAAGACGAACTCAACAGTTGTGTCTGCTGAACGCGGCCATTCACGTTCGACTGCTACTGAGCGGCTTGGTCTACTGAACGCGCCCAATGGCCGCGTTCAGCAGACACAACTGTTGACTTTGTCTTATCAACAATCTGCGTTGATTGGTGGGTTCTAAAAGTAAGAGCCAATCACGTTCGATTGCTACTGAGCGGCGGTCTGCTGAACGCGGCCAATGAGACTCTTGTCAACTCTCATGAGGCCGAATGCCGGATCGCGACGCCAGATGGCGCCGCGACGACAGCGCGTGGAAATTCTGATGCGATACGCCGTCGGGATTCGCAGTTCGCACTGCTTCCTACTTGTTCGTAGTGGTCGGTACGTATATGCTCTCGGTGAATTCGGCGGAGAGAGAAAACCGAGTCGGGTGGGAGCCGTACGAGAGGCGTATCCGCTGAGACCTCGCGTTCCGTTTGCCGCGGACTCGGCGAGACAATCCGACGGGTGAATCGCTTGCGTTCGCGCGATTCTCGGGAACCCGAAGCGGAACGAACGGCGAAAAGTGACGCAGCACCGTATGCATCGCGCGTGTCGGTAATCTCCTTTTATCTCTCTCTCTCTCTCCCTACCCCTCATTCTTTGTCTCTCTCTCTCTCTTTCTCTCTCTCACTCTTACACACACATACACACACATTCGCTCTTTCTTCTGTCTCTCCCTCTCCCATCGGAGTGTCAAAGTTCCGAGACTACTCGTCGATGTAGGTTACGAGAAGGAGAAACGAACGGATCCGGGGTGCGAATCGTGGAAGTGTGACGCGGCCGGGCGGCGACACGCACCTCCCACGGGGGAAGAAAAAAAAACGAAACGAAACGTTCCACGGCGGTATCGCGTTTCGCAGTGCGAGCGGGCAGGCGAGCACGGTTGTAGCGGGGGAGAGCGAGGAGTCGAGGAGAGGAGATCCGGAGTGCGAACGCGGAGAGTGTCGGAGACTGTTCCGGTGGGACGGACCGTGGTGCGAGAGACTGCGAGAGAGGAGCGAGCCTCTCCGGTGGTGGAGAACTCGCGTGCCATCCGGGTGTTGTCATAAATGTGCAGGTTCTACGTAGATTGCGCGATCTATGCACGGTCGACGACGGGCCGATCTATTGGTGGCGAGTGCTGATCGTGCCTGACGCTTCCGCGACTCCGACTCCGGCAGCGAGTCGACGTTGAGATTCATCATCGGTCGCGCGGCGCGTTGCGCCTGGTCGTCGTCGCCGCCGCCGTCGCCGACGTCGTCGCCCCGAGAAGCAGCTAGCACAGCGCGGCGTACCTATCTAACGGCGAGCCCCTCGACAACGCAAAACAGGTTAAACATAAACTCTCGAGACTCATGATTTCCACTCTTGGCAGGTGTCCGTCATTCCGCAAGCGTGCGCGCGCGCGCACGTTTATTAGCGGGCGAGCGAGCGAGCGAGAGATAAGGAACCCTGAATTAAACCCCCGTCGAAGAAACGGAACGACGCGGACGAGAGGTGGTGGCAGGAGGATGTTTATACCGGAGGATACACTGGCTGGTACATACATCCGGACGAGGGAGGCGAGGGGACGGCGAGCGCGCGTGTCACCCGATCGCGCTTCCCTCCGTTGCCCCTCGCGCGCCAGAGGGGGGGGGGGCAGCGGCGCTTACGGTGGTGGACGAGGAGAGAGCTCCAGTTTCTTCCCCGGAAGCGGGGACAGGCGGTATTTCGGATGTCGCTGACGTTTCGACGGGCGGTGACAAGTTACCTCAGGGCAGTGACAATCGTGGCGCATTCATTCCCGTTCCCTTTATTTGCCTCTCTGTCTCTCTTGCTCTCTCTCTCTCTCTCTTTCTCTCTCTGTTCTCTTCTCGCTCGCTCGTTCGCTCTCTTTTCCCCCCCACGATCTTTTTCCGCTATCTCACATCGTTCATCTCCGTCTGTCTCTCCCTCCTATTTACACACATACACGCGCGCGCGCACGCACACGACGCTTGGCGCTTGCGCGCACACATACAGCAGGTGTATGTATACGTGACATGGCTGTTCTGTCTTTCTTCATTCCTCCTTCCTTGTGCTACGTCGATGCATCGTTTTAACGGTTTCTCGTAATTTTACGATAAACACCCCGACTGCTCAAGGTTACGGAAATGTCGGTGACGTAGCTGATCGCATTCCGACGGGTTTTTCCTTTCGGCGACGGATGCCGTGGCGGCGAGGAAGCGAACAGGGCAGGCGACGACACGCGCACGACGGTATACATATAGAGCCGCGCGCTAGAGTCCGGAGTTGCCTTCGTCGGTGGCCCTTTTTCACACGAGCGTTCCACGTACCTCTCGGATCCGGATCTCGTGATCGCGCTCCGAGTAAAAGTCTCGGAGCCTGGATGCATCGCGCTCCCTTCTCCTCGGCCCCTCCCTCCACCGTGTACATTCGCTCTCCTTCGCACGAGCCTCTCCCGCCGGCGGAAGGAAAGAGAGGAGAGAGAAAAATAATAATGCCGGAGGACGTATTCGACGACGTTAGCGCCGAGACTAATTGGATAATACAATTAACAGGATCCCCTAATGGGTTAAAGAGAGCTCGCGAGATTCTGTTTTCCTTCCTCGCCTTCGTCCCCCTCGCCGGAGGGGGGAAGATAAGCTTATTGCTACCTTTGACTTTTTATCACACGGTGCACGCATAAGTAATCCGTTGATTCTCGGTCGCGGTCCCGCGTGCGGGCCGCGGGGTTTTATTCGATTAACTCCGGTAGGCGGACCGCGCTAGTGATTCATTCGACACTCGCCTCTCGCCCCTACCGACGGTGATCACCCATGCCGGTGCCCCATGCGCGCACTCGTCCTCGTCTTGTGGACAATTCTTTTTATTCATTTATTCCCAATAATACTCGTTTTCACCCCGCAATATATCTGTGTTTTTCTGGACATTCTTATCTTATCTGCTCTGGTGCATTCGTGTTTCATTGAAAATATCTTGCTCTTAAAATGATCCTCTGCCTCTCGCGCACGTCTCTCTCGCGATTGTTTTTTAATTATAACTGTCGCTTTCGGTTGTGCGATTAAAGTCTCTGTCGTGTCTGTGTCTCCCGTGTCTTGTTACTTGTTATTTGGAGTTCCGTTAGGTACATAGGCTCCACAGGTGATCTAAAAACGTAGGCTCCACAGGTGATCTAAAAATATTGTAATTAATTCCTGTGTGTGTGCGCGCCTGAAGCGAGATCTTATCTGTCAAGGTACAAAGCGCCAGTACAAAGACACTTATCTGTCGAATTGAGCTTTTTGCATTGTGCGACGACAACTGAGAGAAACGTATAATATATTGTAATGCGTTACTTCTTTGTATAAAGTTTCCTTGACGTGGACATTAGAAATAATGTTTGTTTTTTATTCAGGAGTTATATTAAATCCTTAATATTGCTGATATTAAATTTTTGTGTCAGATTATATACATAAAAATGTGTACAATCTAAAAATCTTACAAAATATTTGTTTTTATTTAAGTATTTAGTTGTAGAATACATTTTTGCTAAATACTCTTAAGAAACTTCTATTGAAGCGCTGCATCACTAGGATAATGTATTAATCTTTCAATATATTTTAGTCCTTCCATTCTACTCATACTTCTGTTTTTTTTTTTTTTTGTAATACTTAAATGTAGTAGAAAGCAGACTGAAAGAAGATGTTATCATACGTGCAATCTATGTGCAAAACTTGTGAAACAGAAGACTGCTTCTCAATTTAATCCCATAAATGTATCCTATGGTTAACAATATAGCCAGCGATATTGTTAACAGCCAGTAAAATTGCGAGATTGATCAAGAATTGAAAAATTAATTTTCTTTCTAGGTGATCATGGCGAATCGGGGTACGGCCCAGAGGCCGAATGGATCGACACAAGGAAAAATTTGTCAGTTTAAATTAGTTTTACTCGGTGAATCGGCAGTCGGGAAATCGAGCCTTGTCTTAAGGTTTGTCAAAGGACAGTTCCACGAGTATCAGGAGAGTACAATTGGTGGTAAGAATATTTATCTGCAATTGCTTTAATATCACTTTTTTTTAATTGTATTGTCACTGTCACAAAAATATATCATTATTTCCAGCTGCATTTCTAACACAAACCGTATGTTTGGATGACACAACTGTAAAATTTGAAATCTGGGATACCGCGGGGCAAGAACGTTATCACAGTCTTGCACCGATGTATTATCGTGGTGCACAGGCAGCCATTGTCGTGTACGACATAACAAATCAGGTAGATAGTTCGTCAGTGGTCCATGTAAATGTTAAATAAAGGAAAAGAATATTCGTAACAAAGATTAAATCAACTAATGTAGAACTAATTGATACGTATTCTTGTTATTTTACTAGGATACATTCTCACGTGCCCAAACATGGGTAAAGGAATTGCAGCGCCAAGCCAGTCCGAGCATAGTAATAGCATTAGCTGGAAACAAGGCAGATTTGGCAAATAAGAGAGTCGTCGAATATGATGAGGCTCAAACGTATGCGGATGAAAATGGCCTTCTTTTCATGGAAACATCTGCTAAGACGGCAATGAATGTCAACGACATATTCCTTGCAATTGGTGAGTTATGCTACACCTTTGTTTCTTTTCTGTTGACATTTAATTATCACAGATTACATTGTCACTGATAACTGCATAAAAATTAAACTATAAACGTAACGTTGGTATTTTCAAGTTATATAAATATGTACCTATTATTAGTTCAACTTTAAACTGTTTAAATTTTCTGTTTTATTTGATAATAAGTACACAATCAGAAATGTTATCCCATCTCGTATTACGCGTTATCACTCTAATCAAAATGCATGGTTACTACAACTTTATATCTGCTGATAATTGACAAAAAAAGCTGTTTTTAAGAAGTTTTAATATACTTTGATACAATTTGGCTACAACGAGGTGATATTATTTTTACAGCTAAAAAGCTTCCTAAAAACGAACAATCAGGAAGTGCAAGTACGAGTGGTCAAGGTCGTCGACTAGTCGAGTCAGATGGGCAAAAGGCAGCAACCGGCAATTGCTGCAAGTGATTATCTAAATCCGTATGTGTCTCACAATATATTCGTATCTATATTTTTACATTATTTGAATATATATATATATATATATATATATATATATATATATATATATAACATCTTTAATATTAATTGAATTGATGAGAGACGTTATTCCACTGATGAGAGAAACCAGCAAATATTTGATATGCCTAATGAATATGTTACGAATCAAACACACGTTCGGTGTAACAACATGTTCACATATTTTTATAATATTAGAATATATAATGAAACGAAAGTGCGATCAAAAGAAGAGAACGGGAAAACGGGAAATATATCAATTTGATATTGTGTAGAGTAGACATTTGCATTTTAAAATGTTTTTAGCAAATTTTTGTATTAGTATCAATAATATGGGGATAACTGAGTAGTCATGCAGTTTCATAGAGTATATTATATTTCTTGTTATGTTTATGATATTTTTTATAGCGTATAATTCTCTTCTCTCGACTTTTGCCTTCTTTATATTTACTGGAACAGTAGATAAATAAAGGCTGGAAATAAACAAGAAGATAAAGAGCGCGGATTGAAAGTAAGATCCAATATATGACCATCAAATATATAATATGCAGGATATAAATGTAACTAATATTGCTGTATAATATTTAGCTACCATTGACAGTTTCTTGTAATTAAAAAGTGGTTTACACAAAATGTGTATGTGAAGAAAACGATTCTAAATTTTATGATGTTTCCATGTTAATAATGTATCTATACTTATTTCTCAGAGAACTTTTCTTTTAGCATTATCGTAGTATATATTTGTTCAAACCGTTCAATACATACAAACTTCAATACAAACACATATAATATAATGATCCCATATACTCTTATAAAATAATTCTTTAGCCAAAAAATCTTCTATTATTTTATTGAATAGTCACATTGAAGGATATTATACGGTACTGCTATTAATCGATTCTTTAATAGCAAATCTTTAATATTCTTTTAATGTATTTCTACTAGATTTAAATATAGCATTTACATTACTGTGACAGCTTTATTAAAGTCAGAGTCTTTATTTGCGCATAAAAATTGTAATCTATGTGATACAACGTCTAAAAGCATAATACTTTTTTATTAGTTCCCTCGTTTTATTGTATATTCATCCGTGATTAATTTAAGTGCACTATTCAAAATTTTGTGAAAAGAGAAGTTGTCTAATGTAAGGCACTAGATATCCCTTAGGCACATTGTAGTGTTTACATGACACTCTATATGTTTATAGATATTATAAATTTGTAAAGTTTCCTTTTCTTCTTCGGAGGACACTAATTTCTGACTGATAAAGGTGCTACAAGAATACATGTGCATGATATTTATTGTGCAAGCTTGTAAAAATGTTTTCTTGTAATTTACGATAATGCTCCTATTTCCTGTGCAATGATTCGTATCATTGGATTGTATATCTGAAATATTATTTTGTAATAATAATAGGTAAAACTGTTTAAAATTGTTACGAAAAAAAAAAGAAAATTCTCAGGGTGCAATTCTTCTCTTCAATCTCTAATATTGTTGTATCCTAAATATATATTTATTTTTATTTCCGCTATAATATACGACTATCTAGATATGTTTCTGTTAAAAATCACAGGTAGGTTCGATTATTCCTGTATAGAGAGGTTTTTAATATTCACCAAGCAAATAAAATGTTTTACAGTAGTTACAGTCTTGTGCATTGTAGATATTCAACAGTTGTAATACAGTACATTATGGAATCATACATTGTGACTCATTTTCCTTATCATTTACATACATGTAATGGAAAAGACGATCTCTATATACGTTCGTAAGCTATATACTTTGCATTACACTTCAAAGTAATTAATAACGATTATATACGCTATTTAAACGATTATTTATTTATTACGTAGATTTTATTTCTACGGGGGAAATTTATTTATTTCTCAGAGAATCTTGATTAAATTAGGTAAGTTGCAAGTAAACGTGTTAATTATCCGAGAGAATTTATATCTCAACGCAACGTTATTGACATAATTTTGTATCGCTGACCTGTAAAACTTTTAATTAAGTTTAATTACCTAATTAAATTGCTCGATATTGCTTCTAATTATTATTAATTAAACTTGCGTTTATACGTATTTAGAATAATATTGCAGTAGACGCGCTATCTATTTCTGATTACAGATATGTACTATAATCTACAAAGATAGGTACACCACGAGTGTGCTACGATGAATTTGAGAAGAAGACACACAACAGGGGAAAAATACAGAATGGGAAGTGAACAGTGTGGGACATTCGCAAACATTTGCTTGAGTGATTGACTAAGAGTCTGCGTCTCAATGTAATCGACGATATATCATCTATTTTGAGTATCAGATCTATTAAGAGGTGGTAAAAGAAAGCTCCCATTTGTAATTCTAGTAGTGTAATGGGCGGTGTTCGTTATAAATATATAAATATATATAAATACACATTATATATTATAAATCATATAGGTAAATATGATTTATATATGTAATAAGTATATAAATGCTAATGATAATAAATAATAATAATAAATAAAAATATAACACCGTAATTAATATTACCGTAAATACTGATAAAATAACAGTACATTTAAATTGAAATATGCAACGTCTAATGAATTTTTGGCACGCGGAGATCTTGTAAGATAGGAGAGGCTATTCCTGCTGCTATTACTATGTATTTCCTTTCTTAGTTTGTAACACGTATAACAATTTCTTGCTCTAAAATATATTGTATATTAATTTTATTGACAACTCATAATGAATTATAAATGATTACACGGCAAAAAGAATAAACTTGTGAATATTACGACGGCTCTTGATAATTGCCTATTTATTCGAACCGGAACTCTGTAGACAACGTAGATTTATACAGAGAATTAGACAGTTTATTGCTTTTTGTTTTAAATATATTAGATCTTTTGTTATGAGGATTTATTTATATATTCACTTGGTGACCTTGGTGTATCACGTAAATATTAATATGCTTCTATGTTCAGTAGTAACATACTGGAATATGTTACAGAAATGAATGACGCGTGTAATCGCAAGTCTGATAAAACGAATGCGACAATAGATATAAAATGCAAAAGTTTCTATCCGAATGCATAACCATGCCGAATGATACGAGAATTTTACATTCCGCGCCTGAGTTGGAAAGTAATACAAATTATGACGGACCTTGGAAATTCGACAATGTACCGTGGCAAAGCCAACGTAGTCTATCTTTTAAATTGATAACGTCCGAAGATGTAACTTACATGAGAAAGCAAAGAGATCGAAAATCAATTTCGCTATTTCTCGGTAAATTTGAACTTTGGTTAATTTATTAATTGACAACCAATAGATGCTTCTTATAATTTGTTGCATCCATACTACGTTTTTAAAACTAACATACACGATAAATACGCGCTATTTTTGCAGAAGAAAAGATTTTATCTAATATATCACAGAAGGAGGAAAACAAAGAGATACTTGTAAAACTTCTATGGCAAACTTTTAGGTTTTTTAAGTAAAATATTTCACGTTTATCTTATATTCTTAATTAAATGGAACATATCTTTGCTTCGCAAATCGATGAAAATCACGTATTCATGTTGCAATCAACATATTTATATACTTATGTTTGTTTTTTTCATATGCAATTTACATAATAGCTTGATTTGGAGAGACACAGTGCCACTTTTTATTTTTTAGAGAGAATCTATTCAGTGACCAACAAATTGCGACAGTTATGAAATTAATACTTTCAACTCATAATTTTTACCTTGCAAACTATTGGAACACAGCTGAAGAAACGTATAAATATTTTTTTGAACGCGTTCTTCAATGTACTGTCATGGTAATTATTTTAATTGAGCATTTTAAGTACATGTATTAATTTTATATCGAGTGTATTTATCTTCCACGTACGGAAATTTTAGGATCCACCAAAATGCGCAGAAATATTTACACCAGATCAAGCTGAAATGGTACTTGAATTTTTTCGCAAAATATATTTGGAAAATCTCGTATTATTGCATCTCGTTTGTATGACTCATTATTGTATCGTTATGCGATTTAATGAAAGTGAATGAACAATGATGTTCTCGCACGCGTCACACGATATGTTTATTTATTTTTAAAAAAGGATACATTTAATTATATATGTATATATTATATAGTACAAAATTACATTTACATAAAAGAAGATGCAGCACGGGCTAATGTAAATCGCGTTACAAATTTCTACGTTCCATACTCAAACGTCAAACTTTCACACTGTTTTCTTCAGTCTTCATCAAGATGAATCCTCTGTTCTCCTTCATTTGCTTGTAGAAGAGGATTGATAACCGTAATCGCGGTTTTCTTCCAATGAAGTGTCGGATTCTGTTTCGTTCTTAAAATTTTCATGCCACCACCGATTATTTTTTCGGACCTCATTTATTAAGTGTTCCATCTTGGGAAACCACCATGAATTGCCACATGTTGATGTACGTCGACCGGTTTTGATTGGCTTCATTAAATATTTCTAAGGAATTGCAAACATAAAGCAATTAAATATCAATCAATGCTGAGATTTTCTTTTTGTTTTTAATCATTACTAACCTTGCGTAAATCTGTACAGTTCAAATTCGAAATTTGATCTGTGTCCGCGGTCTGATGCGCTGTAATTGACGATGATACATAACCATTTATGTGCACTTTTCTAAAACCTCTAGTAGTTAATTTATGCGTTCTTTTCAGTTTCTGCGCCAATAAATTAGTTTGTTTCATCTTCCTGATTTTAATTAATAGAGCTCTAAAAATAAGTTTTATTTAAATAAATAAATGCATGTAGAAAAAGAAGCACTCTTGATTTTAGATCATAAAAAATGCATATTTCGAATTATTAAATATATTATGTACTTACTTTTTCTCGAATACAAGCTGCATTAGAAGCTGTTGTTTATTTTCTAAATTTTTTGTCAGAGTTTCATTGTATTTTTTCTGTTGCTCCATACAATCACGGATGCATGAAAGTATATATTGAGATTCTTTGCAGAGTTCTGATCTACTCATAGCTGTTTCAGTTAAATCAGCTGACATGTGTGTCAGAGATCGGTCCTTTAAGTGACATTCCTTTTTTAACTCGAGCAAGGATTTGCGCATGTTTTGCAACTAATAAACATAATAGCTCGAAATTAGGAGTTGTAATGGATAATAAATATATATAATTAGAATGAGAAAAATTATATTTACTGATTATGGTTATGCATAGTGTGATAAAGAAAATGAAGGAGATATTGTAAATTAATATCCCTTGTTCGAGAGATAAAAAAGAGTATCATACCTCAATTATGTACGTAGAATTATTTCGTTCAAGTGAAATTTTTTGTTGGTCGAGATGGTAATTGTTTTCCATGTATTCCTGCAACTGTTGAATCAAGTCACGGTTTACATTTTCGGCCTTCGTCAATTCTTCTTTCTTTTTCTTAAGCTAGAAATATTAAAACGAAGATTTATTTTACCAATTTACTTCAATATAAAATTATTGGATAATATGTAAACATACATCTTGACGTACGATATCCAAATGATCGGTGTGATCCTTCCATTTATCTTGCGCTTGACAAAGTTCAATATCTTTCGATGCGAGTGTTCTTTTGGTCTCTTCCAATTCTTCGCTTAGTTTGTCCACTAAATTACGAAGATAAACGGCTTCATCTTCTACTTCCACAATCTTGGAACGATAATCTTTTTCCTAAATTATGATTTTGATAAATTATATATATATATATATATATATATATATATATATATATATATATATTTTTTTTTTTTAACACAGTAAAATCTGTTTCATAATAACGAATTACCATAATCGTCAACGATTCTTGCAAGTCAGCTTCTCGTTCTGTTGCAGATATTAACTGTTTTTGAACTTTATTGAAATTTTCAGTCATTTGTTGATAATTGTCTTCTGTTTGGCGCAATTTTATGCGTGTCTCTTTGAGCTAAATAAGTTTCAGACAAAATAAGACACAGAAAAACATTTGTTTTTTTTTTCAACAAAAATATAAAACTATTATATATACATTACCCTTTCCTTCAACTGTAAGATATCTTCTTTGGTTTGAGTTTCAATAATATCATTCTGACTTTTTAATATAGAATTTTCATTCTGCAAACGTGAATAATATTTCAATAGATATCTAAGTCATTTCCTATTCTATTATGTACCTATTAGATGATACAATTGATACAATTATCTACATACCTTAAGCAATTCGTAATCTGCTTGCAATTTAACCATGTTATTCGATTTCTCTTGCAATAGAATTTTCAAAGAACACATTCGATCACACAGAATAGTCAGCATCTCGTGCTCTGATACATTCAATTCAGATAAATTTTCCTCTGCCTGTTGGTCATTTGCGAGCAATCTTTTCCGAAGTACTTCAAGTTCGTGAGATTGATGTTTAATAATCTCTTCGTTACTGATAATTCGATCGTTTAAAGTATTGATCTGTAAATTTTTTATTGATCAATTCAGTTGCTTTGAAAAACAGATATGTATAACATTTTGATATAAAAAATAGATATGTAATATTCATTGTCACTGATTGAGATCTAGTAAACGTTATTAATATTTGTATAAATTTTAATTGTGAAATATATAAATTGTTAACAAAACTTTTTACATTTTTACTTGGCATTGTTATTACACTGTATGTGTGGTTAGGAACATTTTATAAAGAAGTAAGATAATTTAAAAATAACACAAAACTAGTGTAAGAACGGAAAGTTTAAAGACGATCACCTCTTTCTTCCCATTTTCTAGTTTCAACAAAAGCTCCTCGTATTCAGTTTCCTTCTGCTTAATACGCTGTAATTTCTTCATTAGATTATCAGTCTCTGATATGTGATGCTGTAAATTGATTTTAAGCTGCTGATTTTCGCATTTTAAACCGCTCTCAGTATCTTTCACCTTTTTCAATTCTGCTTTTAATTGCTGTATTTGAACGATGGTCTCAATTTCTGCTTCTTTATCTAAAATATTATTTTAATTAACTATAATTTTAATTATTTTAATTAAATTAAATTAAATCAAATTACCTGAGCGTCTTTCCACATATGATATTCCACACGTGATGCTGTTTGAATAGTATTCCAAATCTCGAGTATCACAGTTTTTGTCTTCAAGATATATCGCGCACGATTTATTTTGGCTTTCGGAGTAATTCTTCGTCTGTATAAAACTGTCCATCTGTAACAAAATACATTCAGATATACATATATACAGAAAGTAGAAATGTCATTGTAAAATATAAATATTTCCAATATACCTTCCATTTTAGTTCCCGGAAATCTTTTACATGATCGCGTATTCGTTCCTGTAAAAAAATTTAGATAAAGTTACCTCCGTAAAATATTCCTTTCAATTCTTTGAATATTTATATCAAATTAATATGGTAAGCATGTATACATAAATACGTTTAATATATGGAGGGATAAAAACCACAGTGGTATAAGTCAAATTTTTAAAAATATTTTCTCGTGTGCATAGATGCAATTTATATATTGTACATATTGCATCTATGCATACAAGGAAATATTTTTAAAAATTTGACTTACACCCCACTGTGGTTTTTACCTCTCCATATATATATACTATACTTTTTAAAATCATTTGTCATAAACTACTTTAGAAAACAACATTTATTCGATATGATCGTTTCTTTATTGAAAATACACAAGACATCTCATTATTTCGATTATTATAAAAATGTAGATTATAAAATCAATGCACCATTAAAAATAAAGTCTATATACTATACCTGTATTCCGCTTAAAATTGAATAATACATTGCGTGTAACGCGGTAGTGCTTAAACGTTTATTATATTCCAGACAACGAATTTGTTTATGCAGACTTTCAATAGCATCTCGTTGCAGATCCAATAACATGTCTTGATTAGTTGCCTTTGCGTATAAAAATACAGATTAACAATAAGATTAAAAAGATGTTAGCTAATCAATCGAGTAATAATTCTGGTTGATATAAATAATTTCTATTCACCTGTGTAAAACATTCGTTATATTGATCCTGCGTCTCATCGATGCGCATCGTTAGTTGACGTATAATTTCATCCTTCTTGCAAAGCTGTAAAAATACTTACAATACATTTACCGTACAATTCGTTTTTAAATTTAGAAGCAGAGGACACTCACGCACGATCGTAGTTCATGCAGTTTTGTTAACTGCAAAATGCAACAGCTACAACTTGATCATCCAGGGCACTTGTTAATCCAGACAGCATGTTACGCTTGTACATGCCACAATCTCGTGTCATTTCGTTGACGGGATATTCAAATATAGTATCGCGAAAGTTTTAAATTTAGTTTTTTAGTTAAACAAAGCACACGTCATCATGCATGACACTCATATTCCTCACATTCGCAATGTCACAATGTAAATGTAAATTAAAGGCAAAGAGAAATGTAATGGTCCGCATATTCGAGAATCAATCTTTAATAAGCACTTATATATATCAACAATATTTACAATTGTAATAAATACATGTTGGCGCGAAAGCTATATGGCAATTTAAACTATTTATAATTCATATTTAAATCATTAAACATCATGCACGTTTCTATGATTAAAGGCCGAAGACGATATCGCTGGCCTCAGTTCACTCACATCACTCATCGTTTTATGAGCCATTTGATCCAAATTTCGTTTAGCTTCAACAACGGCATTTTGTAAGTGCCCGATAGTTTGTATCTGAAGTTCATTCTGCAACGCACCGCACAACGTTAGAAAATAAATCTTATCACAGCTAAGCGTACACGAGGGCGAAAAAAAAGGACAAACCTGCTTCAGCAATTCGTTCTTCTCTCTCTCATATTGCGCGATAGTAAGGCCTTGTTTATCTACCTGTAAGAAGATTTCTTTTATATTTTAATACCATACATACCTCAAAATTTCATGCTTGACAAGTAGGTAGAATCTCTGTGCTTGCATTTAAATAATGTGTCGTTCGTTCATGCACGAAATGCATTGAAAAAGCGTAAATAATCATGATAAGATAGTCACGGTACAATAATTTAACGCTTTCAATTTAAAAATGTACGACATTGGCTGCGTTCAGCCGATACTCCGCTAGCCTAGCAATCGTGAGCAGTCGCTCGTTTCCTCTCCTTTTAATCCATTGGGTCAAAGGAGAGGAAACGAGCGACTGCTCGGCTGAACGCAGCCCTTATATGTTCAATCCAAAAGCTGCTATCATAACAACTCTTCTACTTATCGCTTAAAATATACACTACTCAATTTACCTTTTCTTGCAGCTTTTGATGCAGATCTTTTACTTCTGTTTGACTCATTGCTAACGAGTTCCGTTGTATCCGCACGATTTCCTCCATGTTTTCTAACTAAAATAAATTTGGTTCTTTAATTTACATTCAATCATATGCAATGCTTTCCCATATATTTATGGATCCAACCACGAAAAAAGATTTAATTTTATTCAGAAATAAAATAGAAATATTTATATACGTCGTATTTTATATCATTAAATTCATATAAATTTTGCCACATAACAATAAACATCACTTACAAGTTTTTCTTTAGAATATACGGCATTTTTAAGTTTGCTCAATTCGTGAGAGCAAGTATCCAGCTTTTCCCTACATTTTCCTAACGAATCGGTCAGTGTCACAGCAGATTTTGCCGAGACAGAGGAGAGAGATTCTTCATGTATCTGTAAATAGATATTCATAACAGTCTCTTTAATATTGCCTGATATTAATAATAAGAAACAGATACAAACCAATTTTTTAAGTTCACTCTCAAAGTTTTGAACCGCCATTTTTGCAGATTGCACAGCATCTTGCACGGTTTTGAATAAGTGAGATAAATTCTGAAATAATAAAAGTACAAAAGATATTATCATCTTATAAAGAATTGACGAGTAGATGCATCTTCTATTATTACAAAATTTGTGCATCAATATGCGTAAACAAATACGCATTAAATTTTATATATATTTTATATATGTTTTATATAACGTTTGCAATAGTTGCAATAAATTGCAATAGTTACCTCATGTTTAGATGGATAATCGCAACGTAAAAGCATTGCTTCTGTGCCGCACTCCGTATGCTTCGTAATAAAAATGAAAATTTTAATAAGAAAAAAAAATGTGCAAATATGTACCTAAAAATTAGAAAATTGTTACTTACGTAAGCATTTGGGATTTCTGCAGATTTCTTAATATTCGCTACATTGTTTAAGTTTTTCCTAAGATCATTCTCCACTTCCTTTTGTGCTTTGATCTAAAACCCGGAATTATGATGTTAGTATCTATCTTAATGATGATTTTAGATATATGTATAAAAAAGAAAGCTGATGCTTACAATATTTTCTAATTCTATTATCTTCTTTTTCAATTCCGTACTATCTTTGCTGTGACACTGTCTATAATTTTCTGCCTTTGTTCGTGCAGCAAACAGCTCCTTCTCCATAGATTGAATATTATTCTTTAAAAAATTAATTGCTTCTTGTTTGCATTTTGCCTGTTACAGAACAACATTGTATAACTCACAATTGAAAATAAGATTTTCTATTTAACTGAATAATAATATTTACCTCATGTTGCAACATTCTGACTTGGTCTTCTAAATCAGTTATACGATTTCTCCACTTATTTAGTCTTTCATCATATTTCATTTGACACGTTTGCTACAAACATATACATTATATATATATATATATTGCATATTAGTTAATCAACAAATAATTTGCATAGATTGTTACAAGTAACTTATTTGTTAAATATAGCTTTTTTCTGATAAAAAGTAAATTTAAAGTCATTTGATTACCTGGATCATGTCAAGTTTTAGATCATCGTATTCCTTTCTTAGTTTATGTAAATCTTCTTTTGCTTTTATTATGTCGTTTACTTCCTGTAAAACATAGTGCGTAGATATAGATACACCATGAATTAAAAAAAAAAAAAAAACATCTAATAATTATAACTTGTTTTAATACCTGATTATCATAAGTGTAGTGAGAAAACTGCTCCTGTGAAATAATATTTAAGTTAATTAGTTTAATCTGTATATTATTTATTTATACTTGATGCAAGACTTGTTTTTTTTTATTATATGAAAAAGTATTTTATCTTATGTCAATAAAGAATTTAGTTTTAAACATAAACGAAATTCAAAGCATTTTGAAAAGCTATTTAAAATATTTAAAAAAAAAACTGATTTTGATACATTTAACAAAATTTTAATTTTTCCAAAAAGAATACTAATAAAATTAAAGTTTCTTAAAACAATCGAATACATATAAAAATTACAAACAATAACCTTTTCTTCCTGTTTTGTGGAAAGAAACGTTTCCAATACGTCTTGCATTTTTGTATGTGCACAATCGACTTCTTCTTCGAATTTAGCCAACCTGATTTCTCTTTCACAGAACGTTGTTTGTGCGATTTCGTTGTTTAATAGCTGCGTAGAAAATTGTTCAATTGGGAATATATTAAAGACATATTATTTTATTATATAATAGATATTATTTATTTTTCTAGATATATACCTTTTCAAGATACTTACCACTTCACCAGCTTTTTTCTGTAATTCCTTTAAAGAACTATCTACAGTGCATAACTGACTTCTTAATCCTTTTAGTATTGACGTCATACAACCACCCTAAAAGACGATATTTATATAACATGTAAGTTTATACGATATGTGATTAAGCTCATACAGAAACTATTTTTCTTCTAATTTTTTTTCAGAACCAACCTGAGTTTGAAATAATTGCAAATTAGTCAATATTTGTTCAACTTCTTCCATTACCACAGTTAGTAAATCACTGTTGACGCACGCTTTTGTATATTCAGATTCGTTATATTCCTAAAATTAATTTCACACTTCATATTTGTTGACGAATCGATCAATAAAGTAATTTAAAATAGTTATTTAATAAATATTCCGAACCTGTACATTTCCCTGCATACCATTAACGCAACGAGACAATTCTGATTGAACATGATTAATTTCATTTTTTATATCCTTCAATTTAAGATTGCCATTCACGATTCTTTCGCTGTGCCTTAGTCTCTCCTCCTCCTAATAATAAAAATATATTTTTCAATTGCACGATAAAACTGTAATTAATTGATACTCTAAACTTCAAGAATTTTATTTCAATGATGATATCATATATGAAAGTAACATGTGTTTTGATATATAAATATTACTTGTAATTCTAGTCTGTTGATAGCTTCTATTAGTCCTTCTCGCGTTTTCGCCAAATAACTTTGTGCATTAGTAACCATCTCGTTTAAATCTTCATACTGAAAATACAGTAAATCAGCATTAATCGCTAATTTGATCACGAACATTCATGCGCCTATCTCTTGATCTAGACATACATTTTGGTGTCGTGAATTAAATGTCGAAATAACAGTGCTTATTTCCTCACGAATATCTTCTGTTGCTGCTTGAGCTTCTACAGTGCATACTCTAAATTCCTCCATCAACTTGAATTGCCGTACACTATTTACATTTTCCTAGAAGAAGCAAAAAAATTAATTAATTTTCTATTATAACACACGACAAAAATAAAATAAATATTAAAGTACGTAATCTTACTTTAATGTTTTTGGAATCACCACATACGCAACGACTTTCTTCTTTCTTTATCTACAGGAAAAGAAAGTGTAACGTGATTAAAATAAAGCTAGTAATGCGATTATCCTCAGAAAATAATCAACAAACAAAAGAAATTTCATTTGTACATCATATACATACCATACAATCAAAAACAATAACTTCGTTTTCTCTTTCTAGATACATTTTAGTAATAATTTCAATACAATCGATCAGCTTGTCCGACATGCCACTTGCACAAAGTTTGTTTTTATTTGTGCAATTATTAGATATAATACAATCACCCACCTAGAAAATATATTGTTTTAAAAAAATAATCTATTTTTTGCTATAATAGATTAATTCAAAATAGTAACGAATAACATTCTGTAGCAATGTTCACTTTTACTTTGTTATAATCCTAAGAAATGACGTTTTTACCTCGTTATCTTTGGTCAATTTATTTACAAACTTCTCGAGTTCGAGTTTCAAATCCGATAAAATTTCACATTCTTTCTGCACGTGTGCTTTTGTACTATTCAGGAGTGATACAAATTCATCCTAAAAAAATTAATTTAAATAGTATAATAAATGTTTAGGATATGCATGTATATAAATGAAAATATACTTCTTCAAATATATCAAAACATAATATATAATATTGTGCAAACCTTTTTAGAATGTGGAGTATCTATTGAAGGCAGAGGACATTTCTAAGGAAATAAAATACCATTATTTTAATATAACATTGCGTTGTATATGTTTATATTTAATTTGACTGACCTCCGGAGAATTATTCGCATCAATGCGAACTTTTTGAGAAGACGTATCCTGCAACAAATTTAGAAAGAATAAATATATATTGGCGAAATAGTGATATACATATAAATAAAATTATTATGTATATTATTAAACTCATATTTATCGACAAAAATACAGAAATAAAGCAATTGTTAAATTTGTGTAGTGAGTTGTGCTAAGTCACGAGATGTATTTCATAAAATTAGAAACATATTTCTTGAATTTTATGAGTGCAGATATCATGTACACTCGCAAATAAAATATATTTAACAATTTACTTCTTTATTGTCTTATTTCTTAATTCTTGTCGTTAAGTGTATATTTGTCAAAAGTGTATCAATATATAAAAGTACAAAGTTTAATTCAAATTTACTATGTTAATTCTGTAAGCGAGGCAATCATGTTGATGTACATATCCTTGTTTTTCACAGATTTGTATAGAATACAAATTTATTAAAATATTTTAAACATATTAATAATAATAATATATAAAATTCACTGATCATAAATGGCATATAAATTTGTAAATGTATAAATTTATTAAAAATCTAAATATGTAATAATTTATTGATTTGAAAAGATCTGTCTGATTTATTTCATTATTGAATCTCATTTCATACAGATGTTAAAAAGGAAATGATAATCGAATCAGTATAAAAATTCATATTTACCTTGCTACACACATTTAATTCTAAAATACTTATCAAAAAATGTCAATTTTTGTTAAAAAATATTTAACTTTGTAAAATGCCTTAATGCAGTGATTTATATATAAATACATTTCATTTTATTTCACAACTGAATCATTGGTCTTGAACGTGTGTTGCAGGAGAACAAACGTAAGTATCTGTTACAACTCAATCTTGTAGATCGTTATCTTTACACGGAGGTGACAATTTTCTAGCAGTCTGCAGAATTTTTCTATCAATATTCTTTATGTATTTATATCGACCAGTTTGAATATTTATGCAAGGTCGAGATCGGCTCTGTAGATTATGCAATCTACTTTGAAACTTTGCATTAATCGTTGATAAACTTCGTTTGCCACAGTTTAATAGGACTCCAGAATCGTCGTGCAAAAATGCAAAATCGTTCTTTCGCTGTGTAGATATATGTAGGAGGTTCGATACAGGAAATTGCTCAGGAGATTCATGGGATGATTTCATCTTAGTGATAGTAGCGATACGATCGTTAGAATACTTGCGAGGACGGAAGGAGGGTAGGGTCTTCTACAAATGTAGAAAATTGTAAACTTACAATTAAAAATTTTACAAATATTAAAAATGTGTTGTACCTCTAAGGCCGTTTGCTTTAGTCCTTTGCGCATTTCTTTAATCAAGTCATCCTTTAAAAGATTGCCGATATTGGCATGATAATTTTGTTTTTCCAAAGCCACGATCTCCGCCGTCAGTGTATCCTTTGTTTCTACAGCTTCCTGAAAACAATAAAATATATTCATAAAAATAACAGATTATATACAGATATATATATAATTAATAGGATCAAAATAATTAGATAGATTAAACGTACATATATAAATATTTATATATGTAATATACATATAAAAATAAACTTGTATTAATAATATGATTTATACATCATAGTTATTTTTTAATATGATAAACTAACTTTTTCGAGGCGAGCCACTTTGTCCTCCAGTTGTTGTACTTTTTTACATTTCTCTTCCAGTTGCAGCTGTAGGTTAATTGTGTCGACATTGTTTTCGTAAGTATACACCATAAGCTTGGATTCAACGTCCTGGAGTTGTCGATGTAGGCTCTTGTTTTCTCTATCTTTCGCATCTAGTACACTTTCCAGAATGTCAGGTGTTAAGATAATCTGAACAGCAACATAGATTTTAAAAGACTCTCTTGATTTTCGATGTTGGGACAGGTGAGCTAAATTTGATCTTGCTTGCAAAATGTAAAGCTCAGGGCATGTTATAAATAGCAACAAAAGAAATTATTACAATGTACCAAAGTAATTGCTATTTTATATATGCTATTTTTATATATGCTACAACATGATTGCCTCTAAATTAAATCTATAGGGGGGAATCAGTACTCAAAAACCAATCCAAAATTCATTAAAATAAGTTTCCATCTGTACAATAATTATGAAAAACGTACTTACATTGCAATCTTGATCAGAAGCGAATGCCAGTGGATGACCAATAACTTGATTCGCTTGTTTAGCATGTTCTTTGAGCTTTTCACAAAAGCACTGAAGTCTAGAAACATATTTTTTTATAGTATCGTCCTTTACTGATAACTCTGTCGTAAGATCCGTTACTTTTCCTTCCAATTCCAATTGACATCTGAAAAATGTTTGTCCTTGCATATATAAATATATATGAAAACGTGGAAAAAAAAGATAATATATGTAGATAGAATAAAAATAGAATTATATTTCTGTTTGTACAAATATGATACAAAGATTTGAAACCGAAATGATAACTGTCTATCATGAATATTTAAAAAGTAATAACAATATTAAGATTTTGTACATATCTTACCTGATCATTTTTCTCTCATTTTCCTGAAGTTGTTCTATTTGCAGATTCAATGATTTTATATGATCAGTATCTGTCTGCTCCTGATATATAAAGATATATAATTGAATGAAATATCGAAATATTATTATACTTAATAAATAATAAAGATTTCTCAAAAACATAGTACTCTATCAAATGGGACTACAGGCAGTTTATTCAACACTATGTATGCATATATATATATATAATAATAATTTAATTTAATAAAGGTGTAGGGAGCTACAAAAAAACTTTCTGGCTTGTACGTGGCGAATACATGGTATAGTATCACATGCTTTTGCTTAACACATAATTCTCTGAAATTTGCCGTGCTCTATATCTAGAACAAATCTGAGCTTTTTGGCTGGATTCACGCACATATTTACCTGACTACAAATACAGCTGTAATAGTAAAAAAAAATTTCGTCATTATATGCTTCAGAATGCAAAGAATATAAGAATACAAAAGATATGTTAATGCATTAATCGATAATACGGTAGACTTACTCTTGAACTGGGATATCCTCAGGCTGAATCTCAAAGAACGTGATACCCTCGAGACTCCAAACATTCTGCCGGCGCGCGCGACGAATCACCTCCAACAATCCCCTAATGTCGCTTTGCAGATACTCTATTTTTTGTTGCAGATACTCCTCATCCTTTTCCAGCTGACTGACGCGATTCGAAAGAGTATTTAAAGTCTATAATATAGAGACATTACAATTTGATTTTATCATGAGATTACTAAGGCAAAAGGTAAATAATTTCTCTTGCCTTTTCCATAGGATCGGCTCTTGTTAAATTATCCATGACTATCTGCGACGATTGGTTTAGTTTCTCCTCTAACAGCTTAACTCTACTACACGCAGCCTGCTCTAAATCTTCCACCGTATGCACCAACATCGCATTTTGCTCCCCCAAATCCTTAATCCAGTCGCTCATCACTTGTAACTTCAACTGCAAAGTTATCTTTTGATAATGCGTCAAATGTGAATGTAATAATAGTTGTTAAGCAGTAATTTCAAACATTTAAAGACTGGACGCAGAAAGTATACGGACAGAATCGAGCGAAACCGCATGAAATTGATAATAAACGCAAACAAAGCTAGTCGCTTACGAAGACTCGGTCGGGATCGCCGCCAGATTCTCGATCGATCTTCTCGATGCGACTCTCGTACAGCTTGCGGAACTCATCGAGGATACGTAGGCCCTCGGTTTCGCCGCACGGCCCGTCGGTGCCGACGTCGGCCGCTCGACAGTCCTGAATGTCCTGATCCCGCTTAACCAACCCCGGGCCGTCACTCACGTCCGTGGAGCTCGGCAAGCTGGCGCTGACCGAGTGCATCGCTTCTCGCGAGTGTTATCACCGATTGACGACGGATTTTAAGATCTCCCTACACCTGGTTTTCCGAGAGACGAGAACTCGCTTCGAGCAGATGTCAACACACTATCTCGCCATTTTAACGGTCGCGCGACGTCGCGGGGGATAGCCGGGGAGCGGGGACGAAAAGGGTGATCCGTGATCCACGAGGACCACGAGCGACAAGCGTAATGAGAAGGGTGCACGAGGGTGACAGAGGAACCGCGGCATTCGTAAGGGCCAAAGCACATAACATGGCGTAGCGATATACGACGGTCGTAGTCCTCGACCTGACAAATCAAGATACGCCAAAGCTTGTGCGTTACTTACGTCCACGACTACGACTGTCATATGTGCTTTGGCCCTAAAGCCTAGGCTACATCTATCGTAATGTTCACCGTAAGCTCGTCGTAACGGTCGTAACGCTCGTCGTAATCGCTATCGTAAGCTCATCATATGAGTTGATTCAGCTTGAACTCTTTACAATTACGACGCTTGTCTGGACCTGTCAGCTTTTTCGACGTGCGAAGAAAAATGTGTTTGTAGATAAATTGACATAGATATACGGTTTACGACGACTTCGGGAGCTTTCCAGCAACCGACACAAGTCGACACAAGTGTCATTTTGTCTCTATTAATCATTGCCAAAAAAGAAAGATAGAACGACGTTTGTGTCGACTTGTGTCGCTTACTGGAAAGCTCCCTTCATTGCTTACGACCACGATCAAAGCGTTACGATAGATGTAGCCTAGGCCTAATGGCCGCGTTCAGCAGATACAACTGTTGAGTTCGTCTTATCAATACTATGCGTTGATTGGTTGGTTCTAAAAGTAAGAGCCAATCATGTTCGACTGCTACTGAGCGGCTTAATCTGCTGAACGCGCTCATTGGGCGCGCGCAACAGACCAATGAGATATCAATAACACGCTCCAGTCGCTTTAAAATACATGCTCCCCGCGATATATTTGTCTTACAAAGAATAAAAAGTACGTATGTATATTATAAACTATAATTTTTATTATAAAGAGAGTGAATTTTTATACATTACGTTTACAAATTTTAATTTTTTATGCTTATAAATATTTATTAATTATATTTAAAGGTAAGAATATATATAAGGGGCTATATTTGAGTCAATTAAAGAAAAAATGGGGTGAAAAATTTTCAAGACAGAAAGGAGCTTTTCAATTTTCAGGATAGTGGGGCTTTTTGGCTTTTATCCAACTTTTTCTTCAACTGACTCAAATCTCAAATAGCCCCTCCTTACTCTTATACAGTTTTTATATTTACAAATTTCAATTTTGTA